TCTTGATAGTCTTTTTCCCAGAAGCGCTCAATGGTCGTCAGTTTTAAAGATGTTCTTTCCTGACCTCCACAACCCAAGGCCATCTCTATAAGGCCATCCCGAGTGCTCTTTGGATTTGAGGCAGTATCGTGCCGAACCCTATGTCGTTGGCTATGACCTCCGCAATGAACCCCGTGGCATCCCTGCTGACACAGCTCGAAGTCTTCAACTGCAGCCGCAAGGCCGGGTCAGCTGAAGAGACAAAGCACTCTATAGGCTTTGCAGGCTTTGTAGACTGTGAGCTGCGTGTTTTCGTGTTTTTTTTTCTTTACTGACTATTGCAACAATGATGTAGTTGCAGTTAATAGGGTCTAGGCAGTGGCATGCTGAGCCAAGCTCCAACAACTGAGCACCATATTTTATGTGACGATGTGCTAGGCTTTGTTGCTTTGGGAGGGAGCGAAAGCCATCCAAACGAAGCATCTAGAGAAGCCACAATCGCAATTTGAGCATGTCTGAAAGTAAAGCCGCAAATTACCGCTTCCTTTTACTGCCAGAGCCCGATCAAGGGTCTATAGCACAAACAGTTGAATCAAGAAGAGCTTAGGAGATGCTTGTCCCTTTTAGTTTGTGTAACGCCGTCTCACAGAGCTCAAGGTTGTGAACAACATGCTACTAGTAGCAAGTGCATTACTACTAGTAGCAAATAGCTACCAGTAGTAATGCCCTTGTTGCTAGTAGCGATGCACTTGTTACTATGTTTTGGTCGGAGCCTTGGAGCTGAGGGCGCTACCTTTGGCCTTCCTGGTCTAAAATCACCGAGCCCGGCCACGCCAACTGGGCCGTGGGCGCTCTCCATGGAGGTTTGGCCGTTGCGGAGGACCGAGGCAACATCGGTAGCTCGGCGCTTCTTCCAATTGGGGAACAACTGAGAAAGGGGTCTCGTGGCTTCCAGAAACTTTGGCTTCTGATTTGCCCATCAAGGATTTCATGTTGCTCCAGGATCGCACATGACATGTTGGCGGACCTTGTCTTGAGATAAGCCGTTTCCGTGGGGCACAACTGACAGATATCTCTCCCAAGGTGGTGGGCATGTTTGTATGAGAACTATATCCAGAGTCGAGTATGCCTTGGCTTATTATGGGTGCGGAAAGGAGTAATGACATTCCATGATGGACAAACCATGTTTTTTTGTCGAACCTCTTGGCTATTATCCCAAAAGGACTGTGCCAGTGAGCAAAGCATGCCCCGTCAAGATCCTGCCCTTATTGTCCCTTTTGCATCCGTTTGCGGATTCCAAGTTGAAGAGCAGAAGAGAGTTCCTGCAAAGGTGAGATGGGCCACACTCACCACCGCGATTCACCCTGAGAAATCTTTCAGTTTTTGCGGGAGAACTCCAAATGGAACATCTTGGTCATGGTCATGTTCCTGCTTTTCTCCGGCTTTTCTTTTCCTCGGTTTCTGAGGGCACCTAATCTCACCCAACCTTGTTTGGGGTGCAAGACTGAGTGGAGACAAAGCCAGTGGTTTCCTCCATACTCTCAAGACCCGGTATATTCAACAGGGGATCACCTCCAAGCAAGAGATCGCAAGAACCCTTAAATTCAACAGTTCCTCCCAAGTGGAGGATTGGACGGACGTTCCTCCGTTTCCGACGCGTTTCAGGAGGATCCAGACGCCTTGATTATCGTCGAAGGCTTGGACTTCGCCACCGACCTCCGTGGAGTGGCGCTCGAGCCGCTGCACCGCCAGAGTCACCTACAGGGTCGCACTTTGGCAGTAAACACAGAGCAAGGACGCTACTAGGGTCTCCTGGCCTTCTAGGCGAGAGAGAGAGAGAGAGAGAGAGCCATGCCTTGGGGAGCCAACCGCCAGTCGTCCGGCCTGTTGGAGCGACTCTTGACATGTCTACGACCACATTGAAGCGCAGCACAGCAATACTCAGTGCACCTACTTTCCAGCCAGCAACCCTTCAGGGCAATCCGTCTTGACTACCAGTGTCAAACACAGATGCCCACCGGCCATTTGGGGTGGATCCCTGATCCCATGTGATTTTCGATTGTCCGTGCCCAGGAGTGGTGTACGAAGTGCATGACTATTGCTGGTACCATCCCAGTTTTTTCCGCTCCTGGCAACTGTATTGGTTACTGGACAGCAAATATAGCAAGTCAATTCAGAGGCTCAAGTATGTGGGTCAGGCTTGGTTTGTGGCCTCCCGTCTTTGATTCTTCTTTGCCCAACAAGCCATTTCCACAGGTGATTTTTCCCCAAACATTGTGGTCACACTATGGCAGAACGGGTTCTTATGGTAGCTGTCAAGGCTGGCTTCAAATTTGATGACCCTTACAGCACAACAATTCCTCTCAAGATCTTTAAGGTGCGTGTCGACTGTGCAGGCTTGCACAACATGATGGTCCAGAGGGGATGCTTTCCTCGACTGCGCTCTCGTTGTGGTGCTACGCACCGTTTCGGACTTGGTAGTCACCTTTTGTGGCACAAATCCTTTTTTTGGGTGGTCCTGGTGCAGGAGATGGGAGTGGTTGTGCTTCGATGTACAGATTTCGTTCATTTCGCGGCCGGCGCAGCGTTTTGGACTTGGTGGTGATCTTTGGGGTGCTCCGATTTTGTGGCAGGTGCGGTGAATCGTGAGCCTTGGACACGGGGCTCCTTTGCGGAACCTGGGAGAAGTATCGTGCGAAAGCTTCGTTTTGTCATCTCGATTGTGTTTTTGGAAGTGCTCGCTTTGCGAAACGCACTGGCAGGGATGCGCAGTACTGTAACGACGTGCAGATTTTGTGACAGGTGCAGCAGCGCAGCACTTTGTGGACTAGGAATTCAAGTTGCATCGTGACAGACATCGCTTTGCAGTGTGTGTGTGTGTGTGTGCGTGTTTGCTCTCATGTGCACTCTCATGTCTGTGCTCTCGCATGTGTGCTCTCACATGTGTGCCCTCAAGTGTGTGCTTTAGAATAATTCACCTTTGTGTTGTTCTACTTAACACTGTTTGGGGTCCTTTGCCGGGATAATTTCATTGACGTCTCGAAGAATTGCCAGTTTCCTGGACCACATGGCCTCTGACAGTCTAGCACGATTGGCAGTTTTCTTAGAGATGACATCAAACAACGCTAGTCCAACAAACTGATCATGGCAACCTCTGTGAACTAGTTGTGAAAGGTGCCAGCGATGTCGCCTTGAGGCTTTCACTTGGCTGGCTCCTTTGTGCAATCTTTGAGATGAGAAAGATGAAGTTCAAAGTGGGTGAGGAACCAAGCTCATGCAAGCTCAAAGTGTGTATTTCGTGGACCATCCGTACCGGATGTAGTGTGGCAGAAGATCCACACCTCTATGTGTTGCTTAATCCTTGTAATGCATATTAAAGAAATATGAACGTACATGAACATACTATTCTCATCTATTCTCAGGCTCAAAAGGCGTTCGTTTGTACACAGCATGATCCAGCCAAAAAACATTGAAAATCCCTAGTCGCCTGTGAGGCGTGATCGATGAACACCGAGATGATGCAGGAGGGTCTGTTTGGCCGTCTGGAAGTCATTCGTGAGCTGTTGATGTTCGGCAGTCTTCGGAGTTCCTGTTGTCACACGCCCTCAAATGAAGTGTAACTATATACGACTATATATATATATTTTTTTCTGACAGGCTTCGCACACCGGCGATGCCCGCGGGCACAGGCTACAAGCCATTCTTAACGCAGACACCGCCCGGTCAGCGCGCCTGCTGCCACCGGAAATAGAGGCATTTGTTCCAGGCTGAAAATAATGTTTCAAAACCGCGCTGCGTGCGCACTTCTGCGGCAGCGAGCAGTGTAAATACCAATCATGGTTTTAGGCTATCAAGTGCTAACACGGTATTTACGAAGTTCTTTTGGCGCCCGCGCGCCTTCAAAGACGTGGGTACTTACGCAGTTTTTTGCACCATTGCAAGACCTTCTTGAATCAAAGTTTGCAAAAACAATGTAATTTACAATGTTTGGCGCCTTGGCGCGTGCCAAAAAGAAAAGAGCCCAAAGCCGCCCCAAAGTCATGGACGAGCTGGCAGGTGAAGCTACTCCTGAGAGCGCTCAGATCAACTTGGAAGGTGGCGCAAGTGATAAGCTGGAAGGTGGGGCTCAACACCAATTTCGATCGGGCCTTGAACTTTGCCCTGCATCAGTCAAGATAGAATTGACATCCAGCACAGCGTTTGCAACTTGAGCCAGTTCATGTCCCGGCTAACCAGGAGGGCCGAGGCTGAAGTAAAGCACGTGATCCTGCATCTGGCAAGAACAGAAAGCTATGGGTTTTGGTTCCGTGCAATGGACCAAAAGCAAGAAATCACAAGTCTTTGGACAATTTGAAGAGCTCGATGGAAATGATCTGCTTAGCAGCGCAGCTCGACGAGTTGAGCAATGTTGTTCATCAATGGGTACCAGAGAAGCTCACGGTCGAGATCCCAGAAGAGCATAAGACTGAATCTTTGGCATCTACAGGTGGAGCAGCAGAGGCTCTACAAGTTCGAGACCTATGGCAATTCTTGAGCCGCAGAAGGACTGGCATCAAGTCTGTTACAGACTCTTCACTTCACCCTGTAGAGCCTGTGTTGGAAGACTTTAAACACATCGACGCCCGCTATCTGTGGCTACAGCTCAAGATCAAGAAACAATCCTTGAGCATGGAAGGGGTTCCCACTCTATGGAACGTGTCTGATCTTGGCACCAAGAGATTGACAAGGCAAAGAAGAGAGTTCCTCATGTACCTGATTGGTTTGGTGGAACGAGGAGAAGGAGAAAATGGTTTCTTTCCCGGTAAACTACAACCAGGAGACGCGCAAGAGGATGTTGGCCAAGCAAATGAAAGAGGTCAAGAAGACAAGGGTCAACATGCTGATGGGTGATGGGCCCAAGATTCCCACGAACATGGTCAAAGCATGTCAAAGCAGTAACGCTTCTACTTCTACAACTTGGAGCTTCGGGAGAAAGCCATGATGGAGGTGAGATGACTGTGGTCCAAGAGAATGAGACGACGATGGAGCAAGTGGTGCTGGCGATGGAGAAGTACACGATCAAGGTAACAACAATGTTGAGCTTCATCTACTACAGCTTCACCTACTTCCTTGTGTATACCATGGGGGTCTTTGCTGCAGGCGTCTACATTGAACACAAGTACAAGAGGATTACCAGATTCTTTGTCACATGGCGCCGGGTGGCGCAACACGCTGAGATCCTTGAATTCCAGAGGACGCAAGCTGAAAATGATTTTGGATGATGGCAGCGATGGAAGTGCACTACCAACCTCCTGAACTACCTGTGCTAGGTGGATGACTTCCTGAACGCGATCAAGATGAAGTTCATGAACCTGTTCCTGAAGATGCTGGAACTGGACATGGACGTTGAGAAGTGCAACTTCGATCTCTTCAAGATGAACGTGAAGGTCGAGGTGAAAGGCTTCGACCAGAGGAACTCAACACAGTGGCGGTTCCCACTCTCGAGAGTGATGTGTGGGAGACGGCGGACATGAACGATGTTACAAGCCCTTCACACACTTCAGACTCAGATGTGGAGATGGATGATGCTTCAGAAGACCGGGGTGAACATCTGGAACCAGCAGAGGATGAAAGAAGTGAACATGGTTGAGAACACATGGAAGCAGGTGTTGTTTGGTCCAGGATGGAGACTGGTGGAATTGGGGCTTCGCGTGCAAGTACCTGAAGACGCATGAAGAAACAAGAGCCGAAAACTCCTTGAATTCAACGTACGTGAAAAGCCGACTTGCTTCACTACATGGCAGGAGGCACCCCTACCTATAATGCTGGTGGACCACATGATGGCATGGAACCACGAGGCCTACTACGGCTACCAATGTCTTTGTGGATGTGCTCGCGAAGGGTGCATGGGAAGGCCAGTGGAATAGGCGCATAACGGAGTATGCTCAAAACGAGCAGCGCCGTGAGATGATGCAGTCCGACGCTTGAAAAGATGTCAGACTGAGGTGGGGTGTTGGACATTTTGTCACACACCCATGCGCAGACGCTTGCTGCGCTGCGCCGCACAGTGGCACAGTGGCCCGAGATTAGATGAAAAGGGCGCGCTCCGTCTGCCAACAACCTGCAACACACCCAAAGCAGATAAAACAACGTCTAATGAGACGAAATGAGCCCAATGACAAAATATATGGCTTTGCTTGCAGACAGTCGTTAATCTTATATTCGAAGACACTTTTAATTGCCTTCTCTGCGTCCATGAAGCTTGCGCTTGCAAACCAAAACGCTCAGTTTCAGAATGTTTCGGACACTAGAAATGCTATGTTTTGCAGGATTTTTGAATATTGATGAAAATTCATATGGTTTCGGACCAAACGTTCGCGATGCTGGCTATGTAGCCCGCGGAAGACTGCATTTTCGACATCGTGGGTGTGTTCGCCAGTGTGTCCTCACCGACCGAGACACACAGATTGGCAGCCGAGACAGACCGACCGAGACAGACCGAGACAGACCGACCGAGACAGACAGACAGACCGAGACAGACAGACCGAGCCAAACAGACGCACACACTCCGTGCGGGCGGCTTCGAGCGTGAAACACTGTGAATATAGATCCAAATCTATATATGTAATTATATGTATAATTTGATATTTGTTTGAAACCAATTACGGCAGGACACACATGGCCATTGCCCTCTCCGATCGTGAAAAAACTGCTCTTCCTCTGTGCGGCCTCAGCTATGATCAGCAGCTGGTAAGGACCTCAGTTGCAAGGCCAAGAACTCTTCTAGGCCAGCAACTTTATCCTGTCTTTGTGCAAGACTGGAATCGTTCCATTCATCACGATTCATCAAATGGTTCACACGAAATGTGAACCCTTATTGGCTAATGGAATTCTGAGGATGGTATCTTATTCATCCTTCAAGGCAAAGTTGGACGACCGATGGGGCTCTTTGGCATTACCGATGGGGCAAGTCTTGACATTTCTAGGCACCGGTACTTTGTGATGGAAGGGAATCAACAAGTGACACACTTCTCTTTGGCCTGGGAGATAACAAAAACATCTTGACATGTGAGGTCCTATGTTGACAGATGTTGTTTTCTCTTGCAACATCTGATTTGATCCTGGGATATTTTGACATTTCGCGAAGAGCGCCGGCGATTGTTTGTTTTTGCCGACCCGCTGCAGCGAGGTTACATCTTGGAGGCCAATGCTCCTCAGCTCCACGGACGGTTGGAAACAAGACAGAACTCCAACGCGCCGGTTGGGAGTGGCAATTTCTTTGGATCTGTAGCCCATGTAAGTGTAAGGTCTTTCCTCTCAGAGAGCTGGAGAGTGGTCACTGGTGACTTCAGGAAGCTCCGATCTGGCTTGGCGAATTTGGAACAAATGGCTACTGGACGACAGCTGTGTGGTGGATGGAAGTTGGAGAGGTGCTTTGGCTACAGCATTTGCTGCGATACGTGACCCTAAGCTGCAGTCAGATGGTTGATGTTCAAGGGACTTGATGCAAAGTGAACTACGACGAGCTTGATCGCGCGTTATACATAAGATGCAAGACTGCTGTTCCTTCTGCACACGAAAAGGAGAGAGCATGAACTGGGCTATGCCTACTGGGCATTGAATGGTGACCTGGCAACTTGTGGTGGAGAAAGGCGATCCAACAGTGTGTCCAGCTGAATTGCTGAGTGTCAAGAGACTTCTCGCAGTGTAGCAAACACATGGTTGCATTTGTGGGCTATTGGGTCATTCAACGATGAGTTGAATCGTCTGTGTTAGAGGTTGAATCCAGGCATCATCTGAGGTGACAAGCAAGGCGAAGTTGAGACCTTCGGCCTCTTCAAAGAGGAGCAGAACGATTGGGAGGGGATGTCGATGCGGGTGACAGCAGTCGGTCCCTCCCACCGCCATGCCGTGCCGGTCGGCAGCGCAGGGCTCCGTGTGGGCTCGTCAGCTGATCTCAGGGCCTCCAAAGCTTGCAGAGCAACTGCGCCCCAACGTCCAGTCATGAGGACTTATGAGGACTTAGTAGAGCATCTTAGCAATTGACAGTAATGAGCCGAAGGACCTCAAGATGTACATGATGTATTGATGACCCCAACGTTCGTAGCGCACCTGCCCAGCGCCAAGATCCAAAGCATTTAGAAATTGATAGCGGCCTATCAATCCGTCAAGCCTCTCACAGATGTGAGCCATGGAGAATGACTTGGAATCTCACCATCACTTTGCTGAGCGGGGAGAGGCGTGGCAACAAAGAGAAGCGTTTCGACCTTTTGCTTCGAGTGCGACGCTGCAACCTGTAATACCCTTTTCATTGCGCACGCAGATAGACATGAAATATGAACATCCATGAGTCCATGGACATTGATAGACTATGAACAACATTTAAGAACTATAATGCTCACTTAAATGGGTCCCTTCTGTGACTCCCCATGTTCTTTTGCCCTGGCGTGTCAGTAGTCATCCAAAATTATCAACCACCACCCTCATACCACATTTCCTGATAGGAGCACTAAACCATACCAAACCATTGAAGCACCAAGAGCTGCCGCACCGTTCTTCACGCCGCACCGCAGTGTGGAGCTGACCATTGAGCCGGACCGGAGTGTGAACTTTTTGCGAAGAAAAGCGGAGCAAGCACTCCAGAGGCCACTGAAGGCCTTGTTTGGCGGAGGCCGAGATTGGAACAAAATCCAAGAAAGAGGGTCCGTGAAAGACAACCATTTGGTAGTGAGGTCAATGAATCATGGAGTCAAGCACACGAGACTTCTGGCCTGGTGCGACTCATCAGGAGTTTTGAACAAGGACTCAAACAAATACAAAGGCGTTATATACATGAGGTTGTAAATGTGACACTTCCGTCTATTTGCCACCCCTACAGGATCTACAGGAGATTTTCTAGCTGGTGTGGAATGACTACCTCCAAGATCGTAGGGTAGTAGGGCCGCATTAACATAACACAGCGAGAGGATCCTTTTGGGTGGTTCGGTGGGACCCAGGCTTGGGTGCCATTTTAGCTCATGCCTGCAAGGTATTCCATCCTAAAGATCCCTCCCACCCAGTGTCACTACCCCTTAAGATGCGATGTGAAGGACAGCTCTCGCTCTCACACCCAAACAGGAGAATCCGTCGACGGTGACGGGTACGGGCGAGCACTTGTGCGGGCGTTGGGCTATTCATCTCATGCGTGAAACCGGTTGTTTGAGCACCTTGCGGATGCGAAAATCACGGGGGCGATGTCCATTTTCAGGGAGGTATGGGGAGAGATCAGGCCACATACCGTCTCTCCCTGAACGTCCAGGCCGTTTGAACAATCCCAGCCGACTCTGCGATGTGGGCGTCCAAGATGGTGATCTGCTGACGGCCATCGTGCGAGAGCCGGGCCCCATCATGGAATCCTATCGGAAGGCCGACCAAGCTCGGTGAACACCGATTCTTTGGACAAAGCTGGTTGAAGTCATGGATTGGTTCGAACGCTTAGTCTCTTTCACTCCCAGTCTCCCTGTTCTGTTGAATTGAAGTCGATTCTGCCAAGCACACGAAACCGCAACGTGAATCAACTGCCTTTCATTTTCTCGTCGTCGAACCACTGACGTGACTCCACTCAGTCCTCGCAGGCTCGTGCTTTCGCGGCCATTTGCGACGGCGAAGTGGTCACTTGGGGCGCACCTCACTTCGGTGGCCAACTGCCTGCACGGCTGCGACCGCGGCTGGTGGACGTGGCTTCGGTGGTGGTCTCAGCGTATGCCTGTTGCGCACTCCGGAATGACGGGGAGGTGGTCACTTGGGGCTCTGAGCTGTCAGGTGCAATGAGTTTCCAAAAAGATTCCCAGAGAGCAAGAACGCTTAGTAATTAGTGGGGTTGCTTTTGGACATTTTGTAGACATGTCTAAAGTATTTGAAAGTTCCAAGCTGCAAAGATTTTTCTAAAGTTTTGGGAAGGTATCAGATATCTAGCACTTTGAAAGGTCGAGTCTGAATTATCCCCCTGTCGCATTTAGACTGACTTTCTGAGAAGATCGTTGGGTCCATTGCTCAGGAGGGGATTCGGAAGAAGTCACTCACGAGCTTCGTGACGTGATCGAAATCTACGCGACGGACGCAGCCTTTGCAGCATTGAAAGGTAATGGCAGTGTTGTGACCTGGGGCGATGCCAGGAATGGTGGCAGCTCTAAAGAAGTTTCAGGCCCGGTGGGGCGGTGACCATCGAAGATGCTGGACGGATAGTTATAGGTCAAGTGTCTCAACCCTGGTCTCAGGTGATTTGTTTGGGGTTCAGAAAATCTTTGCTTCCACCACAGCCTTTGCTGCAATCCGATCTGATGGTCGAGTGGTTACTTGGGGTGCAAGGAATGCTGGAGGCGACAGTAGCGCAGTGCAGGATCAGCTGCGAGATGTGCATCCTGGCAGTGAGTCTTAACGATCGAATGTTTCGATCTCTGAAAAGAAATTGGCAGAACTTGTGAAGTTTTGTGAAGACACATTGACATACCGTTTTTCGTTGCGTTACGAAACACCCAGTTGACTTGGACACGACTCTTGGGTCGCGACTTGGACACCGCAGGAAGCAAATACATGCAACCAACGTGGCCTTTGCAGCAGTGAGAGGAGACGGCTCAGTTGTTACGTGGGGTGCAGTCAGCGGAGGTGGGGATTGCAGCGAAGTAGCTGATCAACTGGTGAACATCGGGCAGATTCACTCAACCACCCGATCCTTTGCTGCGCTTTCTGCTGATGGGAAGGTTGTAACCTGGGGCGTGCCTGGCAAGTTTCTGAGCCTTACAGGGCTGTGTTGAAGGACCTTTGTTTGCAAAGGGTATGCAAAGGCAAACTGAAACAGAACCTTCGTCCTTCGTCTATGGCTCAAAGCATTGTTAGCAACTTCAAATGCTTACTGTGAGATACTGTAAGTATTTGAATTTGGACACGACTCTCGACAAACGGTGTGTAGGCGCTAGAGAAGATTTCGGAACAGGTACCGGGTCCAATCGCTCCGCTGTTTGCATTGTTTTAACATTTATTTCTTTACGGAGCATTCCCACTTACTTGGCCTCCACTAAACCTGCTTGCCAGGTGCTCCCAGCACTGGTGGTGACAGCTCCACAGTGCAAGGTGGCTTGAAGAGTTTAAGAAGTATAAAAGAGGAAGAGAAAGAACGTAATTAATAATAATGGCAATGGCCTCCAACCCAATAGCAATGGTCTCCAACCAAATAGGAATGGCCTCCAACCTAATAGCACGGGCCTGCAACCTAATAGCAGGGGCCTCCAACCTACTAGCAATGGCCTCCAACCTAATAACAATAAGAAAAGAGGAAGTGATCAAGCATATCATTGCAATTCCTGTTGATGCTATGCAACCGAGCGATCTCCAGCACTTCCCACACCTTCACAGCAAAACAGGAAGGCCGTTTTGCACAAACAAATGTCTTTACAGGAGCTCTGTTCGCTGCAGACTTTGCTGATTCTGCAGATTCTGCAGACTGTGACGAACCCATTTGTTTCGTCCGACCCATCGACTCATGAGTCGACTTATATCGACTCATTCAGGTGAGTTGTTGGATGTAGTGCAGCTGGCGGCCAGCGAGACCGCCTTTGTGGCCATCCGGGAGGATGGTGCATTATTCACCTGGGGCGACTCGAAGATCCCAGATGTGGAGCAGCCAGGCTTTGACTGGAGTAGAATGGGTCTATGTAGGTCCAGGAGAAAACCAATGAAAACAACAACAACATGATCAACATGTAACCTGTGTACTGTATGCTTCTTCCTAGTTAAGGCATGTTAAGGCCAAGTCGTAAGGCCTTTTAACAATTCTTGAAATCAGTGAGGGTCGTGAGGTCCAAGAGTCTGCAAAGCTCAGAAAGACTGGTTCTCCTCTACTTGACCTCCCCAAATGCCCGAGTCCTGTGGTATCCTGTGGTTTGTCCAACTTCACAAGGCAAACACCTTCGTGGTCCACTTTGGGAGTTTCGTTTTCAGTCACGAAAGCCTGAGGCTATCTGCGGTTTCTCGACAGGTTTTGGCCACCGATTCGGCCTTTGCTGCCCTGGGAGTCGATGGCAAAGTTGTCACCTGGGGGTCGAAGAAGGGAGGCGACAGCAGTGGTGTCCAGGAGCAATTGGTGGAGGTGGGGAGTTTCTTGCGGCAGTAAGGAGTAGTTAGGTCCAAGACTCAATCTACAAAGAGTTCAAGCATAATCGGGTGGTCAATGGTAGTTCAGAAAGCGTTCAATGGTCAATGGGGGTCAAACCTTGGGGCCTGAGGCTGTGAGAGATTTCATTGTGGAGCAACACGGAGCATACTTGAATTGTCCAAAACGTGATTTCAGCACCCCAACTGCCAGCACCCCAACTGATGCATCTTGGGGAGGTGAGAAATCTCCTGCAGGAGTCTATCACTGTGAAGAAAGAATGAGACATTATGAGACATGGAAGGTAGGTTGGAGCCATTGCTATTTGGGTTGGAGTTCTCTGGCCGTAGCAGGTACAACAGCTCTTCGCTTCTGAAGGTGCCTTCGCAGCTCTCAGATGCTGGGGCTGCAAGTAGCATGATGTAGGCAGAAATGCTCAAGACTTACATCTTCGATCATCTTCGTTCACTCAGTTCAAGCCTAAAGGCAAGAAACAAACTCATCCTTGCAACTCTGCAGTTTGCACGATTGTCCGCAAAAGAATACGGGAGGTTGGGGGCCACAGCTATTGGTCTGCAGACTCTGAGGATCTGATGGACGTGTGGTGACCTGGGGGGACCCGGCCTTTGGTGGTGATTCACACACCGTGCAGGATGAACTGGTTGATGTCCACCGCGTCCATGCGGCCAGTGGCGCATTTGCAGCAGTTCGACATGATGGCAGGGTTGTGACTTGGGGCGATCCATGGGGTGGGGGCGATAGCAGCAATTTGAGGACGGCTTCGACGACTTTGGTGACTTCAGCGGCTTGGTGAGTGTCCTATTTTATGCTTGAATTGTCTGAAGCTTTTGCATGATGCTCAAGACACCTGGGATCTCCTTTGACGTGGCATTCTTTAGCTCAAGCATTGTGGCTTCAAAAAGGCTTGATTGAGCTGTCAGTTGCTCAGCACCAGCACTCCCCCACGGAGAGAAGCAGGAGGAACAAGCAAGCAAGCAAACACTCCATTTAGTGGATTCCCCACACTGGTAGCTTGGCCAACTCCACTCTGCCTCTTTGCCTCTTTGCGTCCCCCACTAATTAGTTTGTGAATCCGCAAATGGGCCTTGCTGGAAGAAGACTTGGAAGTCAAACCATTCACGTTCTCGCAGTGAGCTCCTGACAATTTTGGTAAAAGCACCGGGACACGAGTAAAGTCGCAGTATGAAGTATGCGTACGGCGTATGCTGAAGTTTAACATAGTCACAGTCTAAAGGAGCCCCCTCCAACAGCAAACACCGTGATAGGTTGCCTCACCATATTCAAGCTCTGGCACACTCAGGAGCTAAGTCATAAAGATGACCGAAGATCCGCCCTGAAGAAGGTCCTGGATGCAATTGATGAATCTGGTGAAGACTGAGATGCTGCAAAACACCCGGTGTGGACAGAGCCGCAAAACACCCGGAGACCGTGAGAAAGTACATCTCGGCCCAGGCAGCTTCAGCACCTCCATGCCTTGGATTTGAATGCTGCCGGAACAACCGGCGGTGCCGTGTGGTGGTCAGCGCTAGCGGAAAAGATTGCGACATTGGGGGGTCTTCATTCAGTTCTTCATCATGATCAGGAATTGGTTCTACACTCAGAATACCATGCAACAGCAGGGACCACCGAGTAGTCGACCCCTCCCAATCGGAGGAACTCCGTTTCAATCTGAGCAATGCCTACACCCTAGATGATGGCTAGTAGTTGATGGGAAGCTGATTCATCAAAGTACATACGGCAAGGATGCATCCAGGATGCCCGGGAAAAAATCATGCTTGTGGCACTTGTGAAGATCACCAATTTCTGGTTTGCAGACCTGGCATTCCGGAAAACAGACTTGAATTTTGATTGCTCCGCCATGCTCATCTCGCAAAGAAACAACCTTAACTTGTTTGTCCCAAAGACCCAGTAGCTCGTCGTAGTGGTTGCTGCATCTACTCGTATAAAATGCGTTTGGATGCATCTATAATTCTTCCAATATACAAGGGTTAAAACTATGGCACATACCGTATGACTACGATTATGGCACTATGGAATCACCACTCACCAGGGCGATCAAAGCCAGCACCTGATCCCTTCCGCCAGCGGAGGACTATGTGTCACTTCAACATCCCTGGTTACTGCAGATGCTGCCCCCTGGCAAGAGATGATGCTCCAAAAGAAGGATGTAAAGGGCAGGACATGCACCGAAGCTTCCTCCCAGCTGCATCTACTTAAGTTTCCCTAACAATCTAGGAACCAAATGAATAGAAGCGTGAGCTATCCCGCATCCATGCTAGTACTTGTCAGCTACTAGCTACCTCTTCTACTAGCGGCTACCTACTTGTAGCTACTACCTCCCTCTTCTCGGCCTACCCCCGTTTAAACAAAGAAAATGTTTGATAGGTTCTGAGAAGCGCGTGCCGCATGTTGGACAGTAAGCGGCCCATTCCAGGTGGTGAGACCCAGACAGACGTCTGTGAAGAAGACCTCGTCAGTTTCAGTGAGTGTACAAAGCCTGTATATACTTTTTTCTGAGGCAATGTTGGTGCGTGCTTTCACAGTGGTTGTAAACTGTTGTGACGAAGTGGAGACATTTGCCTATCCTAAAGTTTGTGTGCCGACTGCGCTCTCATCGAAGCCAGATTGGATTCAATCGACTTCAATAGCGCCCGCAGGAAAGTCCAAAGTCGAACCCAGCTCCTGTGCTCTAGTTTGGAATAGAACCTCGCTTGATGCAGATCAATTTATACGCAATGTACCACATGCCTGGGTGTAGTATACGCATGAGGAGTTCTTCTCTGACAGATTCATTGGGGTAGAAGCAGAACAATCTTCATGGCATGTGTGCACAACTACTACATCAAAGCAGTTGACAGTTTTCTGTTCCTCTGACAATGTCTGGGCTTTCAGTGTTGCTCAGTCTCGTGTGTCGTCAGGTGCAGGCATATCCTGCTACATCAGGCCTGCAGAATACGAACTGCCAGTTGACCAAACCCTTAAGTTCCATTGCCTGACCTCATCTTTCAAGAAGCGCCTTGGACGTGTCTTTTCTTCAGAAGTTGATGTTGAAGCCAACTACTGTCAAAGAGCAGGAACTGCCCCAGGCCTGGTCCATTTTTGGGATGTCAAAGAGGGTGTTCACCTGGTTTTACCTCACAATGTCAACTGCCAGAGGTTTCACTTGGTTTCGCTTTGGTGTACTTCGTGATGAATCAATGATACCAGGCAGTGCTCCAAGCGTGCCGAGGCCAAGGTTCAAGACTGAGAAGACTTATGTGCTGAACTGAACTGATCGCAACAACTTAACATGGACGATGGATAATTATGGAAATGGACCCCCCCTGAACAAGATCATCTACAATCTTGCCATGTTTTGAGAGCTTTGATTAGGTCTTGTGCCATGTTGGATTCTTCAATCTTCTGCTGCTTTGCAGGCCGGCATCACAGTCGAAGGTGCTTAGGCCGGCCGTCTCATCATGTGCATACATGGAGACTTCAATTTTCCACACGAACTGATCTTGTACCATGGCGGTCAAACCCCTGTCATTGTGAATGACTTGTGTTGACCAGACTTTGTCCGAATTGAACCGTGCAGGGAGGTGCATACTACGAAGACCAGATCCACCTCCTCCTTCTTCAGCCCCCGTACGGAGCTCCGAGCCTTCGCCACCCCCACCACCCAAACCCGGCTCTGTCGCTTGGGTGTCGCCAGTGTGGCCCCTCCCTCGGTGTCCTCCGTGCCCTCAGCACCGTCGATGCCTTCCGCGCCCTCGGCACCGTCGGGCATCAGCACCGTGGGCGCGCCGACCCAGACCGCTTCTGCGGGGTCGTTGGGCTGGCACCGGACCGGTGCGACTTCTCCCTGGCGGCCGCATTCCTTCACACCACCCGGGGTGGTGGTACCCGCATGGGCGTGGCTGCCGGAAGAGGCCAAGCGACCCAGTGAGACTTCGAAGCTTTTGAACTTGCCGACACCTAACCGGAGTCGATCCTTGCAACGAGTCGTGGGCACCTTGCATGGCTGGGGGCCTTAGACCGAGAGCCCCTTCAATTTCCCAGCGAAGAAGAGAAAGCTTATCCATGGGCATGGGATCTTAAGCTGCTGTATGATCAGCTGGCTACGAGTTGCTTCAATACTGGCTTGTTGTCAGCAAGGGTGTTTGGTCAAAATTAGCAGCAGAATGACGAGCAAGCAAAGCTTGTCTTCTCAAGCCAGAGATTTGGGAACGTAACAGTCTTACACCCAAATGGTTCCATCACGAAGTGATGATCAATTGTTGCAGTCCGAGAAGTGTCCCAACTAAGTCACTAAGGTCCACCCCTAAGAGCCACCTTATCGGGCATGCCGACCGCACTGCGGGCCGCACGAGATGCGAGACAGGTGAGATGAGAAGGGTTGGTGCAGTAGATGTGATTAGATGCAGCCACGTGGTTTTTGAAAGGTCTTGAATGCACCATTCAATACCATTCAGCCTTTCAGACTTCGAAGTTGTAGGCTGTGTCACAACTTCGGTACTCCGCCAAGACCATGTGAAAGGACTCAGTCCACCAAGATTTACTATAGACATGTTCACAGATGCTTACCTGCAATTTGTTGTGCTTTTCAGTGTGATTCTATACCTCATTGGCCGATCGTGGGCGGACGAGTCCGCGCGTCTTTGGACACTCAGACTGTTCAATTGCAGCCAGGTCCAGGGCCGCTTAAGGTGCCCTGAGGTGCCAAAAGGGTGGCTCCAAGAGGGCCGGGGGCCGGGCGGGCGGGGCCATGGAGACGTCCACAGATGGGTCCTGTCGCAGAATGCGATTCGATCTGAAGAGTGCAACTCTTCCATGAACGGGTCTGAAGTTTTCGTGGCTCATTTTGTGTTTCGGTTTGAGCATAGACAAAATGAATCAACATGATGTCAAACACGCGAGCAGCGACTTCTGCTCTAGCAACAAGGTGTTGTCCTTTGAGCAGAGATGGACTTGGAAACCTCAACAATGTCCTCGATTGGTCATTCAGTCATTCAGCCGTATCTATGAGATTCTGCTAGACAGTACATACAAGTGGGTTGATCCTAAACCATCCTCCCGCGATGGCCCAGTATCTTCTCCACAGGCAACTGGCAACAACGGCCAGTGAGATTAGATGTTGATGTGAAGAAAGGCTTTCATCTAATTCACTTAGGTGGCAATGTTTTTAGGGCAGCGAGTGCTGCAGAATTCGTGGGCTGCTTCCAACAGCAAGTCGCACAGGGCTGGTCTGATGAGGGTTGGGAGAATGCAGCAAAGGCAAGGGGCTGTGATGCCCTGACGTCCAGTGCTCCATGGGACCGCACAGGAAGCTTCACACTCACACTTCAGAAGCTCCACAAAACCGCTGAAAAGCTGAACAGCCACCAAGATTCGTTCCTACTGGATGTCCCTTTGCACACTTTTGTCCACTGAGTGCCAGAAATTCGTTTGCTCCCCTAGTTTGTAGATCGTCCGATCCTGGAGTCCACCGACCGTGAGGGACTTCTGAAGTCGAAAGCCCTGTTTCTCAACTCGGTGCTTTCTCGGGGTGGCATCCAGCAACAATTTTCTGTGCAATTAATTCAAGCAGGAAGAGTGACTACGTTGCGATTGTTGACAGCGAGTTTGACTTGCTTCCTTGCGAGAAGACAAAACGTATCAAACAGCTAGGTGCCAAGGACGTTGCGCTGCTGACTGCGGATACCACACGACAATTGTGCAAGAATCAAGCAAGGGCCTGGAGGAAATTCTTCCACGGCAGTCTTGCCGGAATGTGGAATGCTGCTGTGCTGGTATGTACTGGTAGCAGTTCGTCGTGCAAGTAGATGCTGTTGGCATCGTTTTGTTCCTGCAGCCTGGGCTATCAGCTTTGACTTATTGGCATCCACTCATCCGAACACAGGAAGCGAACCCCGACTAGACGGATTTGCCTTCAGCAACAAACGTTCACCATATTGTAAGATTCCTTTCTCAACAGCACCAGGAGGTAATACGGTATGTAGGGAATTTTGCATGAATTTGCATTCTTGAACACCTAATTGTTTTTTTTTTGGAACCAGGGAGACGGAGACCCCCATCCATGGCGTTAAACCTATTGATGAGGGATCTGAGGGATCCACATATGGCAGTATGGCATTTGGGGACCTTCTTTTTGGGCGGTTTGAGGGCCAACTTTCACTCCCGCATGTTGCTGCTTCTTCTTGCCGTGGTCATCGGCTACATTGCTTACGTTGCCATTGGTCGATGGATTGAACGACGTTCCCAAGCAGTATTAGTGATCACTTACATGGCCCAAAGTGGCCAAGTGACTGTAGTCATCAGGGGATCTCGAAAGAGCATATATCTATATAGTATTATATAGTTATATGATTATAGAACGCGATAGGGCGGCAACCCTGCTCCTCACAGCGTGGGGTTCTCCGAGTTGGTTGGGGCCATCGCTCTTAGGTTGGAGGCCATTGCTCTTAGGTTGGAGGCCATCGCTATTAGGTTGGAGGCCATTAATTGCTATTAGGTTGGAGGCCATCGCTCTTAGGTTGGAGGCTGCTAGCAGGTTGGAGGCTGTCGCTCTTAGGTTGGAGGCCATCGCTCTTAGGTTGGAGGCCATCGCTCTTAGGTTGGAGGCCATCGCTATTAGGTTGGAGGCCATCGCTCTTGGGTTGGAGGCCATCGCTATTAGGTTGGAGGCCATCGCTCTTAGGTTGGAGGCCATCGCTATTAGGTTGGAGGCCATCGCTCTTAGGTTGGAGGCCATCGCTATTAGGTTGGAGGCCATCGCTATTCGTTTAAAAAAAGCGTTTGCCTTTGGAGCCCTGAGACTGAGTTTTGTCGACTAGTGGTGAAGGACAAGGACCGACTTCCCAGGTGTTGCAGAGACTCGCCTTGGGGAGCAGCGACGCGCATTGTTCCCGTCACTCAGTGATATTTGGGTGGATGTATTGGTGCAGGAGTCAGAAAAATGAAAATGACACATGCCAACGAAAGTGAAGATCTCCCAAATCAATCTGTTTTCATGAAAGGTTGATCGAGTCAATGTGGTCAAGAGGGGGGGGAAAACATGGGAACACCCTGAGTTTTGAGACATCCCCTTCGCGGCCCTTGGCTGACCTGCAACTTTGCCCAAGAACGTCCATCCACTACAAAGACCGTTTGGCACAGTTTGAATAGGATGATCAGCCATGCCTATCCAGACCTCCTCTATCATGGAGAAGATGACAATAGGTCACCGAGGTCACTAGTCCATTCAAGATGCAGCCACGTGAGAAGTTCATTCCGAGTTAAGCGTGAGTTGTCCCTGGCGAGACCAAGCAACACCGAAAGGCCACGACCGTATATGGTGTTGGCTCAAAACTAGGGTACCCCTAGCGCTGTTCATGTGAGCCAAGAAAGTTACTCGTACCAATTTCAGCACGACTCCATGTCTATACCGTATATCATCGTATACTCTAAGCGACTACCTTTCTTGCAAGAGGATCTCCCTTCTTGTCTCTGAAAAAGGAAATTCAACACGTCCTCGCCCTCGCCTCTTTTCCCTTTTCTTGCTGAAATCATCTGAACCCCCAGAGCGAAACTCGCACGAAACTCAGGCCTGAGGTGGGCATCTCCCCTGGCGCGCGCGAGTTGGCGGAGTCTCCGGACGTGGAGCTCAAGAAGGAGCTCTACCGTGCGCCCGACCCGAAAAGCCGAAGTGGCGAAGTGGGCTCCCAACAGATGTTGGGCGAAGGACCACGTTTTTCGTGGCACCTGGGTCTTCTGTTTTGTTTGATGAAGATGAAGGCTAGCGGGGAAGACATGGGTTCACAAAAAGCAAGAACATTTGAAGCAATGTTGTACATTGGGTGATCGGGTTAGATAAACCACAATAAAGCCCACGAGGCACCCAATGTTTCTTGTCGGGAGTTCACGGTTTTGTGCTTTAACATACGGTCCTGAGGCTGTTAGTATTGTGCCATATGATATGTCCAATCATGTCCAATCTTTTATTCATTAATTACCATACACTTCCTCTCTAATTACCTGCTGTTGAGCAGCAAGGGGCATGTGGGAAGCTATAGCTGACACGCTAGTCATGAGACCCAGTGGACTCTTCTGATCTCTTCTGAAGTTCCAGGCTTTCCAAACTGAGGGAAGTTGGATCATGACAGACTATGAAGCCCTTTGGCACTTACCAGCATGGAGCAAAAGCTTGATGTGCATTGACGTGCCAGGTATACGGGATGGCAGCCAGATCTTTTTCCACATTTTGAAGCCAAAGGGCAAGACGCCCACGCATGCACTTGCAGCTGAGCTTCATAAGGTTCCAATCAACCTATTTCAGAAAGGAAAGCACAACCAAGCTATTTCAGAAGGCGAAGTGCGTTGCATGGCTTGTGAGGAGAGACGCACAGTCTGAAGTCTGAAAGATCAAGAGCAGAGAAACCAAGTCTTACAAGCCGAGTTGAGGTGTTCTTGCACGGATATAGTTCAACTGGTGACCTTTACCTTGAGGCGTGTGTTTGTCAAACAACATGCATCTTGCTGATCGATGGAAGCCGTTCCTAAATGACATTTGCAGGTTGGATTGCAGACGTGACATGCAGATAGATCAAGCAAGGGATGTCTACTTTTTTTCTTTTCATTTTCAGGTGCTTCAGAGTGTCACCCAAACACACAGAAACCACATACTAGCGCTATCTATAGGCTTTGTTGGGTGCAAGCAGGAGCAAAAACACCCGGTGTCACGTGGGGTAGAAGTGCTTTGTGGATACTCCAGTCTAGCGGCATTCCGAGCTCTGAGCTGATTTGTTTCGACAGTTTCTCTCCGAGCTGGCCCGTTCTGGTGCCATGGTCTTGAACCTTGGCAGTCAAGTGTGGAAGTTGCAGTGCATTGGATTTGGTGCTTCTAGTTGAGAGGCTCCGTATTTTTTGACAGACATTGCTTTCGATTGAGTCTCTCTCCTGAGGATCCCAGACTTACCTGGTCATGGGCGATCCGTGTCTTGGGTCGAACTGCGAGGTCTGAAGATCCTGTTGACAGCAGCCACTGAAGAATACAAAGAGGGCCACAGCTCTGAGGACTTTCATCACGCTACAGGATACTGGTGACATCAATGGTTCTCAACTTGCTCTGAAATCAGAGCGAATAAGATAATAAGAGTGACGATTTTGGAAGCTAGACGAAGGGTGAATGGTACCCGCAAGTATAACTTCTTGTTTTGAGAGCAATGTCGAGACATAGCCGCACCACCGAAGCTTCTCACCCCATTCCCTCCCTTAGTGTGACTGCTTTGAGCAGAAGTTGGCCTCAGCAACTAGTGCATGAGCCCGTCCTTGCATGAGCCATAAGACACCGTCCCCTCAAGGTGAAACAAATTGCACGCCCACATCGCACAATTCCCGTGCTGGTCTGAATGATGCAACGGCGTATCCACCAAGGTTGAGTTTGACTAAAATCTAGGAACCAAATGAAGAGTGCGAGCGCTTCTTCAAGGACACTTTAAGGACCGCTTTACTCCACCCTAGTAGTGAGTAGTGATGGCCTCGAACCTAATAGCGATGGCCTCCAACTTAGCGATGGCCTCCACCCTACTAGCGATGGCTTCCAACCTACCAGCGATGGCCTCCACCCTGCTAGCGATGGCCTCCACCCTACTAGGGATGGCCTGCACGCTAGTAGCGATGGCCTCTAACCTACTAAGGTGGCCTCCACCATAGTCCTAGTAGCGGTGGCTTCCAGCCTACTAGCGATGGCCTCCACCCTAGTAGCGAGGGCCTCCACCCTACTAGCGATGGCCTCCAACCTGCGATGGCCTGCACGCTAGTAGCGATGGCCTCCAACCTACTAAGGTGGCCTCGACCCTAGTAGCAATGGCCTCCACCCTAGAAGCGGTGGCTTCCAACCTACTAGCGATGGCATCCCATAGATTCGGGGCTTGGCCTCCTACACTGTCAGCCCTTGAAGCTCTGTCCAGTGAAAACTGGAAATCTGTGGCCACTTCACGCACGCTAGTGACAAATGGCGGGCAGTGCCCGAGTTAGACCCAATTGTTGAAAGTACTGAGGCGGGATGTTAAATTGACAGGCCAGAATTAAGAGGAGGAAACACAGTAACATCAACATCATTCAACAATTAGTCAACAATGATACAGTAGCTATTTCATCCAGATGCATGTAGATATCATACAAACCTTTATTGATCAGAGGTCTTAGTCGTTGGTGAATATCTTCATCGGACAAAAGCGTGCATCCTTCATCATCCTTCTATCCCACTTCCGAGGATGGACTTCTCTTGTATATCCCTGACTGGTGGGTCTTCGTTGACCAAGTCTGGACCGCTCTAGAGCTCGTTCTGTCATGGGCCTAGTGCTTGCGAGCCTTAGTTCTTTTAGCTTTACCAATGATGGAGTCGTGAATCGACTTTGATGCATGTGTCTTTATTATGGATGCTAAGCCAGCAGAATGCATAATGAGGGGTTCTTAAGTTCTTTTCTCTTTTAAATCTACATTCTTCTTGTAAATCGCAAACCAACTTCAAAAGGAAGATTCTTATATATATATGGTAACCCCCCAAGACCTATCTTTTCCAAGATTTTATTGGTATTTACATGTTGTTTCATGTTTTTTAAATGCGGTTTCTTTAAAATGGATTCTAAGATTCTAAGATTTCTAGAACCAAGTCTGACTACAAACCAAAGGGATTTTAAGATTCTAAGATTTCTAGAAACTTCTCTTAGCATCCCTCCAGAATCTTAGAATCCAAATGGGTTCTAAGATTCTAAGATTTATATAAACTTTTCTTAGAATCCCTCCAAAATCTTAGAATCCAAAGGGATTCTAAGATTCTAAGATTTATAGAAACTTTTCTTGGAACCGCGCAAAAATCTTAGAATCCAAAGGGATTCTAAGATTCTAAGATTTATAGAAACTTTTCTTAGAATCCCTCCATGGCCTTTCGGTCACGAAATATTCTCTCGAGAATAGTACGGATCTGCCGACATCGGCATTTTGTTCTCAAGCTCCTTGGGTGGGGTGGTCGGGTCATGCCGGCCTGCTCGACCTGTGGCCGGGTCTTTTTCGTGGACCCGTGTGGCTCCAGGGGGTGCATTGCGCTGAGGAGGCTTTCAGGTGAATTGCGCTTTGTCCCTATCAACGGGTTGGACGCAGGACTCACGGTATACTTGTTGGAGACTTGCCTGCACACCGTTGAGTACCTCAGGGACATTGCGCACGCCCAGGCTGATCGACTTGAGCAGGAGAGGCAAGGGAGGAACACTGCCAAGGCCTGACCTCCACACGCAGGTCCGAGCGCGCAGGCACCAGGAGCACAGGTGAGACTTCGACGAGCAGGCCAACGGCGAGAGGAGGAGAGAGTTCGAGCAGAGAGGACTGAGGGCGAGAAGGCGAGAAGGAAGGAGGACCGTGGTGATGATGACCGCGAGAGGAAGAGAAGGAGACGAGGTTGAGGAAGAAGGATTTGGAGAGTTTGAGATTGGAGACCTAGAGCGATGGAGTCTTATACAAGTTCAGCCAGGTGTCATTGCCCTCATCCCGTTCGAGGTCGAGGGACACGTCATCGAGGCCCCCCTGTTCATCACCAAGCGTTGGGTGGAAGGAGACGGGAGCCTCACGGCCGAGTTCATCTCTTTGGGGACGACCGATCCTCAGACCTCACGAAAGCTCACCCAGGTCTCAAAGACTTTGAACTTGATTAATTTCTGCATGACCGCCGACTGCAGGACGCCAGGAAACTATTTAGCCATGTTCAAAAGGTTTTCCGATCGAGAGGAGGATGAGCAGTGCGAGGCTAGGGCATTCAGGCCAGAGGAGATGGTGCCAGTTGTGCCTAGAACATCTTGGCATCGACGTCACTTCAACCCCAGAAGAGGTCCTGGAGGAGCCATGAGAGGAGAGGCCCCCAGATTCAGGACGCAGAGGAGTTTTGAGGAGGCCAGCAGCCGAGACTCCAGGACCTCGTCGAGAAGATGCAGGACCACCAGCGCCTGGCTCAGGACGAGAAGGTTTTGGAGGACTGGGAGCTATTGGCGACGAGAGATTGCCCGCAGTCTCATTTTTGGAACAGGTGCAACAGATCCCAGGCAGTGGCAAAGGTGAGGAGACAAAATGCCGCGCAAGAAAAAGCACAAAAAGGAGGCGGGTGGCTTTCGATCATCCGCAGGAGGAAGGAAGGCCGAAGGCATGGGGGCTGCCCTGGAGGAGCTGAGGAAGGAGCTTGCAGAGCAGGTCAGGCAAGAGGCGGATGCCAGTGGTTCGACAGCTACATCAAAGCCCAAGTCTGCGGTACACAATTGTGAGACATGTGTCTGTTTCAAACTCTTGAACTTTCTCCATAGCTGTCGCTATCTGGGGAACAAGGGCCTCCAACTTGATAGATTGATCCCCCAACCCACGACCAATGGCACACAACTCAGTATCGATGACATCCATAATTTGGGTACACTTCAAACCTTGTGGGTAGTGTCAACGTACATCAAAGCAACTTCTAAGAGTGCTTATATTGATCTTATTGGTTCAAGATTGCTTCAAACAAAATTTTATATAAAGCAACATGTATATATTTAAATGACACTGCCGACAGATAATACGACCTGGGAAATGTTCAAATCAACTGGTTGGAGCACGGCACGTTGTCACGGTGGTTCGCGTGTTTTGACACAATTCTTTTGATGTAATAGCAAGAAGCTACTAGTAGCAAGGCACCTTACTACTAGTATCAAGAAGCTACTAGTAGCTCCTGGCATTGCTACTAGTAGCAAGAAGTTTCTAGCAAGAAGTTATACTTGTGACATCTTGCGCCACTCTCAACATCTCTTTCAGGGCCACTCAAGAGTATGGCGACCTATTATTCTGCTTGGCCTTGTGTTCCAAAATGGTACATTTTAGACGTATTTACATGGTCTGTGCAGTCGTTCGAGACGTGGGAGGGAGATCAAGTGCGTTTAAGTCTGTAGATCCAGAACTAGGAAGGTACAATGTTTAAACGAGAAGTTGTCCTTATCACAGGTTGCAGCAGTGTAGGTATCAAAGAAAAACAAAGGCACTGAGTGTGTACCGGACAACAATGCATGTTCCCATGCCAACAGCATCACTTCTAAGTTCTAAGTTCCTATACATTCCCAACTCCTCCTCCGCTGCTGGTGTCCTTGTCTTTCTTCTTCTTTTTCTTCTTTCCCATAATGGCCTCCCTCAGGGCCAGGATGATCCTGGAATCCTTGCCACGCTTCCTCTTCTTGTTCTTGCTCTTCTTGCCATGCGCGCTTGCACCATCCCCTGAGGCAGAGGCGGCGGCAGCTACCAATTCCTACTCATAGAACTGCCTCTTCGCTCCTCGCGGTTGCTCTCCAAAAGCGCGGTCACCTCGTTTGAGGGCTCCTGCAATGTTAGGGTTAGCCGAGAGGACCGCCGTCGCAGGGTAGCGGGGCCAAGGGTCCTGGAAGGGTGAGGTCATTGCGACGCCATGGCTGGTGCAGCGGAGGGTTTCCCGCTAATGAGCCCAGCCGGAGGCCCTTATAGCGGAGCCACGGACCAGCGCAATGGAGGGTTTCCACGGCCCTATAGTGCGCAGGCGTGTATTGACGACTTGAAGCCCGAGGTGTTCCTGAAGCGAAACCAGTTCCGTCTGGGACGGGAGGAAGGGTGGCGTTTCCGTATTGGACGTCAGTACGCGTGCGCAGGCAACTACATATGGAGGATACAACAAGCGCAAAGCCGTTGCGCGCTCGCCGCGCTCATTGAAGCCTGAAGTAATGGAAGCGCGTTGCTACTCGTCCTTGACAACCTTTTTCACATGTGATACCTTCATCCGGGAGTTCTTTGCTTTTAGTTTGTCTTTTAATTTGGCTGTTAATACAAAGTCTTCGAAAGTGACTCTCCCATGCCATTGACGAAATGATATAACGTACAACACGCTCCATTTTGGAAGGTGGGACTCGAAAAGATTCTGTTATCCACCATCAACATCAGCCCTTAGCTGCGTCTGAGTATTCCAGCCCGCCTGCCTTTCAGTGCAGAGGGACGATCATGGGCTGCGCGAGGGCGTGCGAAATGCTGACTGCTCAGGCGCGTGGACGCTAGTCATCATTGATGTCATGAAAAGCAATGAGGGCATTGAGGGTATGGATCGCATCGTAGTGCCACGGAGCGATGGCCAGACATGTATCGCATCGTAGTGCCACGGAGCGATGGCCAGACATGTATCGACGACTTGAAGCAGGAGGTGTTTCTGAAGACCGGCGCTTGGCGCGGCAAAACCAATTCCGTTTGGAAGCGGAGGAAGGGTGGCATGTCCATATTGGACGGCGAGGTGGCGACGCTGATTGCCAAGCCTAGGCGCGCATAGGCGTCCACATATAGTATAGAGGATACAACAAGCGCAAAGTCGTTGAGCCCTCGTTGCGCCCATCGAAGCTTGGAAGTAAAAGAAGCGTGTAAAGAAGTATGTTGGTACTCATCAAGGGTCCTTCGTTGCAGATCTGTGGGAAAGCAGAGTTTCTCATTACAACCTGCCACCAAGGATCTCTGTGAAAAAGAATTGCCCATCAAGAACCCTCCATAACAGATTTGTGGGAAAGTCGACTTGCCCTCTACAACCTTCCATCAAGGATCTCTATCAAAATAGATTTACAAAATTATTTGGAAAGTAGGCTTCCTCTGATCCATAATCACAGGTCTCTGGGCCTTGATGGCCTTTTTACTGTGACAGCTTTATCCGCCAGTTCTTTGCTTTCAGTTTGTCCTTGTAATTTGGCTGACTGACATTGGAGGATTTGCTTTAGTGCGCGCGTTTGAATCAAAATTTAAAATCTCCAAAGTATCTTTTAAATCTTTTGTCTTTGGGCTACCGTGAAAAAGATCTTCTAAATCATGGGTTTATGTTAGAGATTTTGGACGTTGGCTGCCACTAAGAATTTTAAGAACTAATTTTTGGGAATGCTGGGTTCCTTATGATTTCAGTATATTTTAGTATATTCATGTATATTCTATTTTTGCGTCTTATTTCGCTACCCGGATTCTATATAATATTGAGGGTTTCCAACTCTCTTTCCAACATATCCTGAGCCACGCAAACAAGCGAGACACACACGACGCGCCGCCGCGTCACGCCCCCACGTCACGCCGCGACGTCACGCCGACTGTGCACAGGACGCGGCGCAACGTCATGCTGAACGCTGTCACCTCCAGGATGTTTGCCTGCCATGGCCTCACCGGCCTTGATCTCAAGAACCTAGACCCCCCAGTGGCCTCACAGACAATGACTTCAAGGATGTTCACCCTCACAGACCTTGAGCCCAATGCCTCACAGGCCCTCACTTCAGGATGTCCATTTCTTGTGGCCTCACACGCCTTGATTCTTGACCTCAAGAACCTTGACTCTGCAGTGGCTTCACTGGCAATCACCTCAACGATGTTCACCTCCTATGGCCTTACTGCAGCCCTTGACCTCAAGAAACCCGACCCCCCCAGTGGCCTCACAGACCATCACCTCAAGGATGCTCACCGCCTATGGTCTCACAGGCCTTGACTTCAAGAACGTGGACCCGGTTGAGTGAGTGAGGTTGAGTGGGCGAGGGTTGGTGTGTCAGGTTGGTTGGATAAGGTTGGGTGTGCTGAGGTTGGGTGAGGGAGGTTGGGTGAGTGAGGTTGCGTGAGCGAGGTTAGGTGAGTGAGGTTGCGTGAGCGAGGTTGGGTGAGTGAAACTGCTATATCGGCGTGGTTGTTCGTTGGTTATTTTTGTATGTCCTTTTTTGTTGGCCGGGTACGTTGGTATTTTTTTTTGGTATGCCCTTTGCTTGTTTGTCCGTGTATGCGGACGTTGGTCCTTGTTGCGTGTCCGCTTCTTGTTGCTCGCTGTATGATGTTGTTGTTGGTTTCTTTGTGTATGTCCTCGTTTTGTTGGTCGTGTATGTAGGCGTTGGTTCTTTTTGCACGCATGTCCTTGTTTTGCTAGTCGTGTATGTTGGTGTCGGTTCCTTTTTGCATGTTCATATCTTGCTGGTTGTTACAAACAACCGCGACACACACAACGCCCACCCACGTCGTGCCAAATGCCGCCAGACACGACGCGTTGCGCGAGACGTTTGGTGAGTAGAGTGACGTTGGGTGTGTTTGAGTGAGTGAGAGGTTGCGTGTGTGAGGTTGGGCGAGTGAAGTTAGGAAAAGGAGGTTGGGTGAGGGAGCGAGGTTGCGTGAGGGAGGTTGTGGGTGAGGTTGAGTGAGTGAGGCTGGGTGAACGTTGGTGAGGGAGGTTGCGTGAATGTCGTGGTCATGTTGTGTCTCCTCGGTCGAGTTTGGGCGATGTCTCGGTCATGTTTATGTGCTGTCGCGGTCATGTTTGGGTGGTGACGCGGTCGCGTTTAGGTGGTGGCCCGGTCATGTTTGTCGTCATGCTGCGCCTCGGTCTTGTTTATGTGGTGTGTTGGTCAAGCTTAGGCGCTTGAAGTTGCAATGTTCCTTGTGTATACGTTGTGTGTTGGTCGTGTGTGTAGGAGTTTGTTTTTCTTTGCACACCGGCGCACGCCGCTCCTCAACGTACGCCGCCCTTTTACGCATGCGCGACGCGCTGCCACGTCAGGCCGAACCCTGCCACCTCAAAGATGTGTTCGGCTAGCGCTCTTTCTTTAAGGATCCTTGGGGATGTTCAACTCCTTTGGCCTGACAGGCTTTGCTTGCAAGAAACTGGACTCCGTAGTGGCGTCACAGAACATCACGTTCAAGGATGTTCGTCACGCCGAACGCCGCCGCGCGCGATGCTCCCCCACGACGCGCCAAACGCCGCCAGACACGACACGCCGTTGCGTGAGATTCTTGAGATACGTTTTGAAATCTTTTGAGTGGTGCGTTTGTCATGTTCGCGGATGTTCATGTCTTATGGCCCCGCACGTCACGCCGAACGCCGCCGCGCACGATGCCCACACACGACGCGCCGAACGCCGCCAGACACGATACGCCGTTGCATGAGATGTTGAGATACTTCTAATTTTGAGATCTTTTGAGTGATGCGTTTCTTATGGCCCCGCGCGTCACGCCGAGATCTTTTGAGTGATGCGTTTGTCATGTTCGCGGATGTTCATTTCTGTTGGCCCCGCACGTCGCGCCACCGCGTCACGCAGTGCCCAACGCCGCCGCGCGATGCCGCCCCACGACGCGCCGAACGCCGCCAGACACGACGCACTGTTGCATGAGACGCGGAGTGAGTGAGTGAGTGAGTGAGTGAGTGAGTGAGGTATCCCCCATACTCTGTGCGTTTATGAAATGCCATCCCGTGAGGGTATAAACTGAGAAAACCGACCACCATTTTATAAATGGGCAATGGGTTTAGTTAGGGAAAATCATAGGCTCAGAATGGGCCAGACACGAAGTGATCTTTTTATAAAATCCATGTGTAGGCGATATGAATTTATAGAACGGACTTGTCATGGTATGTTCTGGGCAGACTTAGCCAGGGTTTGGCAGAGTCAATGTAGTCAATTTAAAAAGATTAGCGCCCCAAACCCAGACATCTGAAGAAACCCAATTTATAAAACATCAAACAGACAATTTATCATTTTATAAAAGACAATCCTGTGTGGTCTTTTTTTAAAACGCGGACTTGCGCAAACACGGGCGGAGACATGCGGTGCGGTCATTTTGTGAAAGACTGACTTACGCAAACATTGGCGGAGACATGCGGTGCGGAGATATGGCTCCAAATGCTTGTGGAAAGGAGTGAGCGGCAAATGCCTAGAGCGATGACGACTAAATCACAGTGTTTCTTTTGTTTTTGCAGAATATAATCACATCTTATATTCAGTCATCATTTATACAAAAGTATGCCGATAACAGGACGTTCATGATCTGATATCCATGTAGTCCTTTTGTAAAAGGTTGGCTTTATCAGTTTATAGTGTTTTACCCTTTGCAGATCATTTTAATGACTGAACCACAGGCCCCTGGAGTAAGTAAGGGGGATAGTGAGGTAGGGTGTGTGGGGGTGAGGATGTCTCGCCAGGGGTGACATCGTGTCAGGGTGATTTTTAGGTGACGCGTTGGTAATGTTTAGTTGGTGCCTCGGCAGAATTTGGCCCATGACTGCGTCATGTTTAGGCAGTGTTTCGATCCCCCCAAGTACTGAAGGTCTGGAACGGTGGGTACCTAGGTACCGGGAGACCAGAGGCCTAGAATATTCAGAGGTAACATTGTAGACCATGTAGACCCTACGAAGGGTAGTATTGTCGACCTTTTGAAGTTTGGCATTAGACATTGTATTCTGGATTAACCACCTGCTAGCCACAGCAGCAACAGCAGCAACATAGATGATAGAGTGGCTCTTTGTATTTGTTTGTCTGATAGGCAACAAGAAGAGAGAGGTGGATGGGATGGCCTTGACCTTCTCATTGGAGAGAGCCCCAACAGTAAAGTTTCTAGAAAATAAACAAACAAATAACCCAGACTAATGGGGCCAGGAGTGAGGGTAAAAAATTTACGACGCTTGTGCGGATTGGTATTTTGTGAGAATTTCATCCATTTGGCGCTGAAATGCGCTGAGCGATTTACGACGTTTGTGGGGATATGCATTTTTGCGAATGTCTCTACTTTGGCGTTGAACGATTTACGACGTTTGTGCTGCTTTGTATTTTGTGCGGGTTTCTTGCATTTGGCGTTGAGCGAGTTACAACGTTTGTGCGGATTTTGTATTCGTGAGAATCTTGCCCATTGGACGCTGAACGGTTTACGGCGTTTGGGCGGGTTTGTATTTTTCGTGTATTTCTTCCATTGCGTCGAATGACTTACGGATGATACACATGTGCTTGGAATGGTGAAAAGGTAGGTCTTCCGGGGGGGCTGCATCTATTTATATATATATATTCTGTTTGCTTTTGCAACCTCTTCGTTAAACGACCCCCGCAGGTTCGAAAGCTCGCCTGAGGCCAGTCGAGTGCATTTTCGATGGACAGATGCTGCCGCTCTTCTTAGCAGGCAACGGTCACACTAAATACCACTGCGCCACTGTGCTGTTTTGCGCCCAAGCGCAGGTTGCATAGGGTGACCATGTTCATCCGGAGCACGTAACATAAATTATGGGTTAAGGCGCCTTTTTGTGCAATTCTGGGTGATGAACCATTCACTGAGAAGACTGAGAAGTCTTTTTTCCAACGCGTGCAGAGCCACGAGGTGCCACGAGGTGCCATGAGTCACTCGATCAGGCAACTCTTTGGGTGGTGGCCTTGCAGCTTGCATGGTCCTGCAGCGCCCCAGCTTCTTCAAAGGCGTACACGCCTCAGCGGAGCCCTCGACGGATGATCGCGGTGGAAGGAAACGACATAAACCTGCAAGATGTCATGAGTGGTGGGCATGCATGTTTCTTGATGCATCTTGATGCGCTTGGCTTGATCAAAAGGGTCATTGGATTTCAGAGACTCTTGAATTTTTATCAGCTGGAATGTTCTACGAAAACGCATTCCAAACCACCTTTGAGGTGTTGTTGCTGTGCCCCATGCTCACAGTGAGTGACGAAGTGAAGCCACCCTGGATTGTGCAGATGATCTTCAAATATGTCGTTGCGCACCTGCCACTTGGGAGGACAATCCTTGATAAACGGAATTACTACGTAAGTCATCCAGAGTCCTTGATATGTCGTGTGCTCAACTTGGGTAATTGCCAATTTGGATTGCTGGCATGGGATCTCACATTGTTTTTCATATGTTTGGCTGATGGAGCCCGGAACCTCCAGGTTTCCTACCTGGCCTGTGAGTCCGGTGAAAGGCTGGGAAACTGACCGAGAAGCAACCAGAAGAGCGGCAGACAGAAGTCTCACAGAGGCCATCGCTAGTAGGTTGGAGACAATCGCTACTAGGGTGGAGGCCATCGCTACTAGGGTAGAGGCTATTGCTATCTATTGTTTCTATAGGTTTCATATGTTCTCTTTAACAAGTTGTTCCTTGCAGCGAAATCGCCAACCTCGGACGAACTTCAGATCTCTCGGACTTTGACTTCCGCGATCCTCTTCAAGGAAACAAGTCACTTGGCCATCGCTACTAGGGTGGAGGCCATCGCCACTTCGGTCTTGGGAGAACACCACGACTGGCCACCGCCTCATGCCACGGTTAGGTACGTGAAGGTGAATCCCATGTCGCTACAGGGCTTGACCCCACGACTGGGAACCTCATTGCAGCTGGGCTTCATCTATCCAGACTGGCTCAAGGAGCGCCTCAGCGAGGCTGGGAGGCTTGTTTTGGGAGTGTAGATTTGACGACTTATCAGTCTCAGTATAGATGTGTAAATGATTGTAAATGAATCCGTAGAAGTGTACGATCAGAGATTGTAACTGATGAGTTGTGATCGATTTGCATGCGACTTCTGGTCTGTGGGGTTCACGATCGAGGTGCGCACGCCCTTCATCATCCAGCATGGCTTGGAGGACAGGGTCACCGATCCGAACACCTCGCAACTTGGTGGCAGAATCTCCTGAAACCACTCCAACGGGAGTGTTCAAGATGAAGATGAGCTGGGCACAATTCCTATCCTACACCAAGGCGCTCGAGCACACTCACAAACATTTACCCATAATTAAGTGCCAGTGCGCTTCTCTAAACCCTTGAGCAGATTGCCAAAAGCACCAGCAAGATGGTTCTTTTGGCATGTTCATGCCTAGATGAAGTGCTGCAGTTGGCGTTTGGTTTCCTGTTTTCAGGAAGGAGCTCTACAAGGAAGCGATTGCCAAAGATAAGACCCTGAAGCTCTACGATGGAGCTTGGCACCGAGCAACCAAATGCATGCAGACCATGCAGATATGATCAAACCACCGAACTGATGACCCCACCCAGAGTCTTGAGACGGAGTTTGCTTCGGTTCACAGTCAATCAGTTTACAAGTCGCTGCCCAGTTTCCTTGGAACCTTTGCACAATAGACTGTAAGTTCCCGTGTCAGCTTCTCCCGCTCTTGACACCTATCCTGCAGACAGTGCCGTGCTCACTTTCTTTGTTGGCCCTACCACACTGGCAGTTGGGAAGAGGGTTGCTTTCAAGGCTTTGGTTGTTGATTGCTAACATCGCCGTACGGCCCGCATCATCTATCCCAGCATTTTGAACGAAGTCCAGCTCAACCAGTGTTTACTGTCTTCTCCATGGCACAACCCCAGTTGTGACACGCAGAACAGAAAAGCACCAAGGCTGACAAAGTGGACGGTTAATCAGAAGTTAATCACTTTTCACTGGGGTCTGTCCTATTACCTGTAACATTCAGTAAACAATTATCATCATTTTTGACCAAGGCCTTTACTAACCATCATCATCCACTGTTATAGGTCATAGGATAGTTAATCACTTTTAACGATGTTTAACGGTGACATTGCAGATGAGACCAAGGTCTACCACTGTGAGATGTTTTGTTGCCTGCCCGGGAACGAGAAGTTGTTGGGCCTCAAATGGTCTCCAGAGCAGGCTCTGACGATCGGGACTATCGGAGCTGTCGTTCGATTAGCTCAACGCAGGATGCACTTCCTAGGTAACAAGCTTCAGAACCCTGGAAATGAGGGATTTCACACCCAAGGGTGGGCTGTTGTGCTAAAAGGAATTGGGCAAACTTCTCCTGAACCAGACTGCCATCTACAATCATCTACTTACGAACCTCTCGAAGATTGGACTACTGACTACTGTAATTGAGCGATTGCGTGGGAGATGTGGCTGTTTGATGCTGCTTAGATCTTTGATGCGCACAAATCCCAACTCAGTGGCGTACTACTGTAGGTTGCTGTGACAAAGACCTGCCTGGAAGACATGAAGCAATGGATGGCAGAGAGGATTGGAGGCTTGGCAGCAGAGCTTGGGCAACACAGGAGCGCATCACCCATGAAAAGGTTCCCGCCTACCTCAGCCTTGGGTTTGCTGTTGCCATCAGGAAGCCATTGTGTATCCTGACATTCCTGTTTACATGTGTTAAGGTTCATGAGCCAGTGGCCGCCAGTGGCCTGAAGCAGAGCTCCAGAGGTGTACAGATCTCCAGAGCGAAAAAACTCAAGCTCAGCCAAAAAGCCACCAAAGCAAGGCTTTCGAAGATGGGACTGGTGGTGAGGGCAAATCCTTGAACTTGTGCTGCCAAGAAACCCGCTGTGCGCGCCTTTGCAAACATTTTCCTCTCAGATGTAGCTTATTTGAGCCGGATTCCAGGCTCTCAGTTTTGTGCCTGCAGCTCAATCATGACTTGAACACGGACTTGTGTCTCGCATGTTTCGGTGAAGCTCCTGTCCAAGGTGCCATGCGGCGAGCACTGGCATGCCAACAGCTCAAGATTCTGAAGCAACACGACTTCCAGCTTGCGGTGAGCCGCGGATGTTCAGGCACAAGGACATGTTTTAATAGTTTTCTTGTGATTGTGACAGAACATTTATCTTTGACTCATGCGTATGTGGGATTCTAAGAGGTTCTTCCTCTTCCATTGATTTCAAGGATCTGTGCCCCGGCTGAGGTTTCACTTGCGCTGTGGTAGCCCACGGCATCACTAGGCCAGTGACCTGTCATGTTTTCGGATGTTTTTGTTTTGTATTTCGTTTTCCTGCAGGGCATGCAATGAAGATGTGCGAATTTGCTGGTGCAGGAGTTTTGTGGTCGCCCCAGGGATGTGCGAAGCTTAGATTCGCGTTGCTCCCAAGGATGACAGCTGAGAGGGAAGTGCTTTGAGCCAATTCTTTAGGCCGGAAGTGTCTTTGAGCCAAAGTGGCCAAAGAGGCCAAAGTGGCCAAAGAGGCCTGAGCTCGTCTCTTCCTTGGCCAAGATCAAGACGGCCAGATCCTTAGAGCCTTAGAGGCCATCAAGACGGCCAAATGCCTCCATCATGCATTCCGAGATCGTTCGGTGAAGCTTTCACCAACTTTTTTGTGAGGTGGACGATACTTTCTACCTGAAACTGATGCTTAGTATAATAGTTGGTAAGAGGCAAATTATTTGCATCTACCAACTATTTGCTTTACCAACAATAACTGCCTGCAAAACCTGCCCCACTCAGATCACTTATTGTATCACCTCGTATTTGCCTCACTCAGAGCGTTGCCTTCCCTCACTCAGGTCTTGGCCCCATGTCGATAGATGTCGGCTGTTGTGTGCAGTCACAGGCGCGCCTTTGGTGGTTCCTTACTGCAGGAAGTAGCTGAAATTAGGAAATGGCATGTGTCAGTTAGCTGAAAGGCATGCTGGGATTCATGCCATGTGACCTGTTTTGGGGCTCAAGAGGCTCCATGCCCCCAACTCAGTCACGGCCTTAGTGGCTGTCAATGCAGATGTGGAAGGTCCGCCCAGCGCATAGCTGCTTCGGCTGCTTCACCCTGACTCTCGGGGTGGAGGTGGCCTGCTTCATCGCTCTCGTGGCACAAATTCTGATCATCTCTCTATGCTCATCAGCTGAGCCGTTGACCTTGATGAACCTGAAGATCTCCCCAACCATCCAAGTGATTTGTGCTTCTTGGGCATTGGTGGGCATTCCACTGGTGATATGTGCTGGAGTTGGTGTACTCTATCATGTGGACCATTTGCTGAGGATGTTCTTCTGGTACCTGCTCCTGAGTTTTCCAATCGGCATATTCGTACCTGCATGGCTGTTGGCTTCTGGAAAGGTCTGCAGTAGTGTCATCGAGGATGAAGTGCAGCGACTGGGTCCAGCATTTGTTTGTGGTTTCACGGAGAGTTTTGTCTTCATGTGGACAATGGTTGCCGGCCTTGCACATTGCTACCTTGTCTATGTTGTATGGTCAGCCGCAGAGGAAATCAGTGAGATCCCGAACAACTCTGTGGCTCTCACAGCCTATGCAAACAAGCTGCAGTTTATGGCCAGTATGGGCCTGTCGAACTTGGATGCCAAGTCAGTGCCCGTGCTCGCTTCTGGTCACAATCCCTTCTCCTCATTGCGGTCGGAAGGCTCCAGCAGCTACGGAGCTGCCCCGTTTCGCCCAGAGGTTGATGGCGAGGGCGCCACCGGGAGGAGCGCACGCAGTGGTCGAAGCCAGCACAGTGCAAGCGTCGGTGGAGCAAGTGTCGGTGGAGGCAACCAGCAGAGCTTCTTTCCCATGCCCGCAAGCAGCTTTAAGTCTGAGACAGCCGAGGTGGCTAAGGAAGCAGAAAAGCAGGATGAAGCATCAGAGGTAGCTGAAGAGTCGGCAAAATCCACCAAGGAGGGTGCACCACAGAGCTTCTTCCCGATGCCAGCCAGCAACATGGACTTCAAGTCTTCTTCGGCATGATGGTGTGAGAGGCCTTTCACAAGCAAATCCGATAGCAGGAGGTGCGACCTGTCGCGTGGCAAAAGGTTCGACCTGTCGCAGCCCTTTTCTTCCCTGGATCGATCAAAGAGGTGGTTTTCCCGAGTGACCGATCAACAGAACCGAAAACCGAAAAAGGGGATGTTCATTTGAATTTGTCCGTCGAGATTGCAATATAAATGGAAATACAGCCCTGGCCACCTGGCCCCAGGTATTCCATCAACCGGCACGTCAGAGTGACTTTCAAACATAACATTCTAGGTACACCCCACTGCACAAGTGCGTTTGTGCCAGGTTTTGCGGTAGCACTCCGGGCTTTTGAAGGCAGTTGGCCAAGCGTGCTTGCTTTCTACTAAGAAGATCTAAGAAGTGTTGATCATGCCTTTTGATCGAGTTCGAAACATAGCGGCAGTGAACGTGCCTTTCTGTACAGAAAGAATCTATGCAGGCAATTTCTTGTTTCGTGTCTTGTCAACTTTCATGATTCTGTCGCTGGTTATTGAAGGTCCAAGCCATGCCTGGAGAGTGATTCCTGACTCAGGTAGTCATTCTATGCGGTTTGGACAGTACCAGATGCGGGAGGCACAGCAAGTGTGAATTCTTCATTTCACACAGGTTTAGTTGGTTGAAGAATGTTGAAGATGTTGAAGACGGCTGTTGAACGGAGATGTGATGAGAGGTGTACCCTTTTGATTTCAAATAACATCAACCTCCTGTTGGCATTTGCTGCGTGTGAAAATTTTTGCCACTCCTTTGCGACGGCGTAGCCAAAGCCTTTAAAAAGCAAAGAGAAGCTCCATGGCCAAGCACGACCAAGCCTATCGAGCTCCTTGAAATCACAGGCCAAGCGCAAAAGGGAAGCGGCGCAGTTCTTCACCTACCAAGCTCGTTTGCTGAGGACAGTGACAGGCATGCTGGGCGTGCTCAGTAGAGCAACAAAAGGCATCTCGCTATAAGGTTGGAGGCCATCGCTATAAGGTGGAGGCTATTGCTATAAGGTTGGAGGCCATCGCTATAAATTAGGTTGGAGCCTATCGCTATTGGAGGCGGGGAAAAGAAAGGAAGAACGGTCTAATATAGTTTGCTAATTTATGCTTAGCGGACGGCCATTGTGCAAAGTGTGGATTTCACACGACTTCACAGACGAACCAGTCGAGAGGTGTTCATTTTGAGCAAGCACTTTGAACCCTCTAGCACGCTTGTGTTGCTTCATAAATCCCATTGACAGGACTGGCATTCCTCCAAGGGACGATTTGTGCTCCAAGTCTTTTTTGTTCAAGCTTTAAAGTTTCCATGTTGAGCAGACCCGTTTGGTGCAGGTACTGGCGGCGTGAAGAGAGAATGCTTTTTGGTACCGCCCAGATGGAGAAGGGGTGCGCTTGGGGTTCGGATTCTGATCTGCTCTCACAGGCTTGTTGCGAGCTATTCTTCGCATTCTAATTTTGATTTGAACAAGCTTGAAGGTTTCTTGATTCTGGTCTGGTTTAATATGGTTTAATGTCTACTTATAGTGATCAGTTCACTCGCCCAGATGTTTGACCAATGCCCCCTTGGCAGTCGGACCCTGTAGATGTACATTAAGGCTATCCGTCGGGGACAGGAAGCTCATTGTACTTCCACCGCTCACCCTCTGAAGCTCTTCTTGGGGGGGGTTGTTGAACCGCATGCGCAGGATCAATTTTGACGCCTATGACGAGGTGGAGGTGGACCGCCGTGGCGGCATGGGCGATGAGGTGCCGTGCCCCGGCGAGCCCGTGGCGGTCCACAGAGCGAAGCGAGTCATCGGGCTCCACGTTCCCGGGAAGGATGCAAAAGGATAGCATATTTCTTGGTTGAACGTCCCAAGAAGATGTCCAGAGTTTCTTTCAGTATTTCGTGAAAGAAGGGACCACTTGATTTCGAAGAAACAATTTGATCATGCATAGCACCGCAGCATCAAGTTCACAGCCCGTGTTCCACTTGATTAACATCCGTGATGGAGTCGATGGAGTCATCTAGAGATGTGGCAGGCCGTTTGCAATTCTTTCCAAGAAATCTGCCAGAAGTTCACCATGCCCAAGGACTGAAAAGATCATAAAAGATCTCTTTGATGATTGATTTTGTGAGGTCAAGGCGGTGATTTCTGCAATTTGTCAAACCTGTGACAAGAATGTTTGGGCAGGAGCTGGTGGACAATGTCCTGAAGAGATGTGGGTGCACCGCATTCATTGTAGCTTCTTTCTGCTTTGAAAAGCTGTACATGATGGAAGACGATGGAAGTGCTCCAGGTATGGCAAACCCACCCCTGCAGCATCCTTAGCTTCTGTGGATGAAGCTGTGTCGGCGATTTTGCTTCATGCTGATTGCACATACAATGCTGAATGCAAAGCGAGGTCCAGAAACATGCAGTGCCTGCGGCGCTGTCTGGAAATGATGTCATGGCACCTTGCAGAGAATTCGATTGTCGGTATTAAGTCGGTATATATAAATGGGTTCTGCTCATCCAAACGGCGGTTGTGATATATGTGAACTGTGAGCGGTTGTGGGAGGCCACTTAGAAGCGGTAGAATGTATATGGCGAAGAAGAACGCAAGAACACTTGTCCTAGGCAACAAGACTGCTATTAGTCTTCTTACGATTACCATGAGCTGCTTCAAATTGCAAGCTGTTGCCCTTAATGTTTTGCATCATCTTGCTGCAACAATCAGGAGAACCTCTCCGA